AGACACTTAGAAGTTGGTTAGTTACACTTGTGAAACATTACATAGAGGTTGAACAAACACTTAAGTGATACGTATTACGTAGAGGTTGAACAAACACTTGAGTGATACGTATTACGTAGAGGTTGAACAAACACTTGAGTGATAGGTATTACCTAGAGGTTGAACAAACACTTGAGTGATAGGTATTACCCAAGTGTTTGTTCAACCTCTAGAGTGATAGGTATTACCTAGAGGTTGAACAAACACTTGAGTGATAGGTATTACGTAGAGGTTGAACAAACACTTGAGTGATAGGTATTACCTAGAGGTTGAACAAACACTTGAATGATCTAGATACTATAACCAGTTCTTTAACATTCATAAAATAAATAGCATTTTTTCTCATCACTTATAAGAGTATGTTGGGTATATTAAACTAAGATGAAATATGATAATATTGTGTTTTTCTATCTAGTTGTAAACCAGACAGTATGGTGGGTTTCAAAGTTGATGGGATTTGAATGGTTTTCTTTCCAGGGCCACATCAGAATCAACTTCATCATGACATGACCTTACAGGGAACTCTTTCCAGTCAACCAGGTGGGTTTAACTTTTAAAAACAAATTACTTAACGACTTTGCATTGTTGAAGGTTTTTTTTAGAATGTATAACAATGATATAATAAAAGAAATTTTGACATCTTTTTTAATAATGAGATCCTATGTATTTATTTTTGCTTACTTTATGTTCATGATCAACCCTCTTTGCATGGACATCCTTTACTGTGCGTGTCACTTGGATTTTAGTGACTTACATTCAAAATTTAATCAAACTACTTTTTTTCTACATTATACCAATCAGTATAGCATGAAATCATTGCTACTAATCCATATTTTAATAGTATATGAGTTTTAAGTTTTTCATTTTATAAGCCAATATTAATAAAAATCCTGAATTTCCCCTTGTGTGAGAAATATGACATTTTTTTCTAGGCATCTCCTCTTCTCTAATTTATTCACCACCTCTCCAATAAGTATGATATTTAATGTAAATTACTCACCATAAAATCATCATCGCACAGGTAAAGCATAATTTTTAAGGCCTTCAATCTTATTTGGTTACAGAGCCATCAAGCAGATAATCTTGCCACACCCACCTGTCCCATCGTTTCTTTCAGATTTTATTATTAGTTCTCTTTTATGTTCAATACTATATTATTTATAACCAATAGAAATTCGAGGTTTTCATCTATCAAATGACATATTGTATTACGTTGTTTTCTGAACAGAAAATTGTCAATTTTTCTTTTAGTACGAGCATCATTTCCACATGAAACATATCGACTAGCTTGGATGAATTTGTAACGGCTCTTGTCGCATAGTTAGAAAGCCACAAAGTTTGTGAGAATTAGGGGCAGTTGTTTGCTTTTTGCATGTTATTCTTGTACGTTCTTTGGTGCATTATTGAATTAAATAAAAATTATTTAGTGCATTACTACCATTAGTATAAAATGAAGTAGAGTTAAAGAGCATTGACAACAACAACAAAAAAAAAGACCTGGTTAAGTCATTTATTACTTGTTTTTCATGTTTGTTTTATATTTATTATTATAAAAGTAACTTGCATGTAAAAATAGGAATCTTTTTAGGTTAGTTAAAGTTAGATTAGACAAAATAAATAATAATAATATAAAAATGTTTCATGAGGCACGTACACAAACAGCTCGTGGATAATGTAATTCAATAGCTTAACGACAGCTCCATGTTTCCCAAGTGATTTACAACTTATAATGGCACAAGTAGCAATTAGGCACAGTTTAAGTATAAATAGGTGTATACTGTTACGAGTTTAAAGATACTTAGGATAAATGAATGTAGTTTCATGTTGCAATTTGATGTCATTCTAGAAAGAAAAAAAAGTAATTTAGATTTTTGGTGGTTATGAGGTCAGTCAAATTGACCAACCTTGTATACAGTTAGGTTAGAGAAAATAATATATAAAATATAAAGTTTCACTGGAAAAAACTTTGATATTTATTTAGGAGGTTGCAGAAAACAAATGACACATTTAAAACATCACTGGAATTCAGTGAGTTTTGATATTTTACACTACTTATTAAGTAAGACATTGCTCTGCAGGAACAGAATCCAGTGAGATATTTAACTTCCTGCATTCGTTCTTCCAATAATGAGAGGACAGTTACTCTGTTTGTTAGTCAATGAATTCAAATGTCTGTAAATTACCTAATGTAATGTTTAGACCAATTGTTTGTAGTATACTTGGTTCATTTGAAGAATATTTAATGATTGTTTAGATTCTATGAGTTGTTATATGCCTGGTTTTTTGACAGTATGATGGAAGGCATGTAAGCTGCACAATATGAATATCAAGTATCTCCTGGTGCTGAGTACTGACAGAATTTACCTTACACTCATTGTGTAGTTAGTAGTGTTTAAACAACACTTATCTTCTGTGTTACTGGGATAACTTGTTTAATGTAGGTGAGAGAAACAGAAAATAAAACTGTTTTTTAAATAATAATAATTTTATGTTATTAAATTAAATCTATAAAAGCTCATGACTGTTGGTAATGCTCACATTGCATCACTGGTTAGAGCACCTGAACCTCAAACGGAAGTCTCGCATTCAAGTACTAGTACAGTTTGGATTTTGTATAATTTTATTTCAAATAAGGTGTCATGTTTAGAGCAAGATATTTCAATATTCTGGAAAAATATGAATACAATGATGATATTTTAAATTAACAGTTGGATTTCAAACACTGGATGTCAAAGTGGCTACAGTCTTGCATTCAAATCCCAGTAGAATTGGGATTTTGTTAATTTTTTTTAAATAAATGATAATATTTACAGTAAGTTCGTTCAATACCACTATAGATTAAGATAATGGTTAACATTCGAATTAAAAGATTGCACCTATACATCATCAAGCCATCTCAGCTTTTCCTTTCAATTGAACACTTCTATCACCATCTATGAAATAAATTCTAAACAAAATTCTGAATAAACATAAAAATAGTTCAGAAACAATGCAAGAAAAAAGTCACTTAGAAAAAGAAAGAAAAGGTGGATGGATATCTTGACAAAATCAAGAAAGTTCAACAAAAATTAGGATGACTAATGGATGAGGGAAAACAGTTGACATGGTCAAATGAAACTCCTGAAGAAACAAACCAAACAAGACAAATTTATGCTGGAAGACATGCAAATGGGTCCTTTTTCCTCTGTCTTCCCCATGTGTTGAATGGGTACATCAGCTAGTTATTTATGGAAGGGAAAGAGGAACGTAGGCTTGATTTTGTACTTTGTGACTTAGGGCAGCTGCTGACGAGGAGTTTTTTTACTGCATGAGAGATTACTTTAGTGCATTGTTAGCCACGGCACAGCGAAGAGATTACTTTAGTGCATTGTTAGCCACGGCACAGCGAAGAGATTACTTTAGTGCATTGTTAGCCATGGCACAGCGAGAGATTACTTTAGTGCATTGTTAGCCATGGCACAGTGGAGAGATTACTTTAGTGCATTGTTAGCCACAGCACAACGGTATGTGCTTAATTCAAAACAAAGCACAATGGCTCTGAATGTTTTTTTAAGCACAAACTTTTAGCTCATAGCTCCATCTTTTAACCAATTTGATATCTGGTTAGATTTGCAGCCATTGAGGATTCCCTCTTGTTTTATGTTTAAAAGTAACATTTTTTTTGGGGGGGGGGGTTGGGCCATCTTGCTAGGGAATGAATGACAGGAGGAAATGGTTCCTTTCTGGTTACAAATCTTACTTTAGTATATGCTTAATTTGGGTTTCTTCTCCCAGGTGTCACTTCTTAATTTTTGTAGTTCAACTCCTTTATTCATATGGTGAAGCTAACTAGTGTAAAACAGGTGGGATTTTATTACCACACTATATACTTCAACTGCAGCATTAAGCTTTTCTTTCGTAATTAGCAAAAATCAGTAAACTTGGAAAAATACGTAAAAAAAATTAAAACACAAAGCAATTATTTAAATTCTGGGAATATATATACATGTACGTATGTAGTGTATTTTTTATGCATAATATATACATTAGATTTATTTCTTTGAATTTAAAAAGGACCCAAAACTCAAACACTTTTGAATAGTTGATTACTCCTCTTCAAGAGAATATATAGATGCGGGTGTCGATGTTACGCAAGCTGAATGTTCCAGATGAGTTAACCTTGGTGGTTGTCAGGTTTATTTCTTCATGTTCTTGCCTGACATTATCAAAGTACTACAAATTATAGTAACCAAATATTCATTATCAAGAATGAAGTTCATTCACTTATTAAAACATGGATGAAAAGGTTAATGTCTCTATTAAAACATATTTGTGTCAATGTGTATACTGAAGTTTAACATCATTTTTCATCTCTTATGGGTTGACATGCTGAGATTTTTTTGTACAAAGTAAACCTGTTATTTGTTCCTTGATAGTAGGGCTAATAATTGAAAGGTGTGGATGATTATATATTACACACACACACACTGATCTTTGTGTATATTATTAGCACCCGAGTACTGGTGTTCCATAGCCTACTTTGAGCTAGACCAACAAGTTGGTGAGACTTTTAAAGTTTCCTCCTCGTACAGTAGTGTCATCATTGATGGCTACGTGGATCCCTCTGGTGGAAATCGCTATTGTTTAGGGGCTCTTTCAAATGTACATAGGACAGAGCAGAGTGAGAGGGCACGGTGAGTACTGGAATTTTTCAGATATAAAGTTTATTACCACACACATTTCAAGAATAGCAGGTGTTCACTGTCCAGTAAATTCTAGTTCTTGATGTTTTCTATACATACAGATTAGTTGATTCACTTTTAGTGTCTTCAAAAATAATTCTGTGATATGCTGTATTCATTAGATTTAAACTTTCTAGCTTATAAGCTTGATTTATATAAGCATAAGCTAATATTATGAATTTTGTTTTTGTGTTGAACATGGGAGGTTAAGTCCATTTATACTGAAATTTTATTGTTTTATTGCCCTTTGAACTGTGTTTAATTACTATTCGTGCCACTATAAATTGGCGAAGGTGCATCTCATGTTATGTTATTGAATTACGTTATGCACAAAATAAAGAATACAGATGAAGAACAAGAAATAAATTACTTACCCAGGTCGTCTTGTTTTTTTGCTGTCAACTGTCAATAACACTTAACCTATTTTTTTATACTAATGGTAAAAATGAATTAATAATTTTTTGTTTAATTAAATAATGCACCCAAAAATACAGAATAATAACATGAAAAAAGCAGACAATGCCCCATAACTATCACAATTTGTTTGATTTTCTAACTATGTGACAAGAGCCATTATAAATTATTCCAAGTTAGTCGATAGGTTTTCTGTGGAAACGAAGTTTGTACTAAAATAGAAACTGACAATTCTCTGTTCAGAAAACAATATAATATAATACATCATTTGATAGATGGAAACCTTGGCTTTTTATTAGTTATAAATAACATAGTATTGAATGTCAGAGAGAAGTACTGTGAATTTCTGAAAGAGATGATTTAACAAGTAGGAATGGCAAGAGAGGTCTGATTTGATGGCTCTGTAACCAAATAAGATTGAAGGCTATGAAAATTATGCTTTGCCTGAGCAATGACAACATTATAACGAGTAATTTACATTACATTTCACACTTCCTTAAGGGGTGGTAAATAAGTTATAGAAGAAGGAAATCCTAGAGAGAAAATGTAACAATTCTCATGCCAGGGGATGTTCAGGATTTTTTATTTTTTTGTAACTAAATATGATTAAAGGCTTTGAAAATTATGCTTTGCCTGAGCAATGACGATATTATAATGAGTAATTTTTATTAAATTTAATACTTCCCTGAGGGGTGGTAAATAAGTTATAGAAGAAGGAAATCCTAGAGAGAAAAATGTAACAATTCTCACACTGCGGGATGTGATGTTCAGGATTTTTTTTTTGTAATATTTTTTTAAAAAATTAAGAACTTAGAACTTGTATACTATTAAAATATGGATTATTAGCTACATTTCTATGCTATATTTATTGGTATACCATGACAAGAAAGTATTTTAATGAGGTTTTGAAAGTAATTCACTAAAACCTCATGACATGCTGAACAATATGCCAGTGGAGAGGGGGTTAATAAAATAACTATTTAAAATGATTGTATCCAAAAAACTTATGCCTCAAAGGGAAGAAAATTTCACTAGAGACACCTGAGAATCATGAGTTTTATTTAGGAAGATTCAGACAGTACAGGAAGTTTTATAACCATGTTATACTGCATATACATTTATGTTATTATTCGTAATGAAGTACAGTTAGCTGAAGATATTTATCCTGTGAATGTGATTAGTCATAATGAAGAACTATGAACTGAAGATGTTTATCCTGTGAATGTGATTAGTCATAATGAAGTACTATGAACTGAATCTATGAACTGAAGATGTTTATCCTGTGAATGTGATTAGTCATAATGAAGTACTATGAACTGAAGATATTTATCCTGTGAATGTGATTAGTCATATTGGAGTACTATGAACTGAAGATGTTTATCTTGTGAATGTGATTAGTCATAATGGAGTAAAATGAACTGAAGATATTTATCCTGTGAATGTGATTAGTCATAATGAAGTACTATGAACTGAAGATGTTTATCCTGTGAATGCATAATGAAGTACAATGAACTGAAGATGTTAATCCTGTGAATGTGATTAGTCATAATGAAGTACTATGAACTGAAGATGTTTATCTTGTGAATGTGATAAACTAAATTGTTTATGTAAAATAAAATACTTAACCCTCTACTGTAGTAAAGGTAAATATTTGTACTGTTTGGAATAGACAATTTCAATGAAGTTCAGTCATCATCCATTAATGTTCTACAATTTTTAGGTTACACATTGGGAAGGGAGTTCAGCTTGACCTCAGAGGTGAGGGTGATGTGTGGTTGCGATGCTTGAGTGACCACAGTGTTTTTGTCCAAAGCTACTACCTTGACAGAGAGGCTGGCCGAGCCCCGGGAGATGCTGTGCATAAAATCTATCCAAGTGCTTATATTAAGGTATGGTGAAACTTATTCATCCAGGTACTTGTATTACGTTATGGTGAAACTTACTTTAATACAAGTACCTGGATGATAAGTTTCACCATAACTTAATACAAGTACCTGGATGAGTAAGTTTCACCATAACTTAATACAAGTACCTGGATGAGTAAGTTTCACCATAACGTGGATGAATAAGTTTCACCATAACGGTACTTATATTAAGTAATAGTGAAACTTATTCATCCAGGTACTTGTATTAAGTTATGGTGAAACTTATTCATCCAGGTACTTATATTAAGTTATGGTGAAACTTATTCATCCAGGTACTTATATTAACTCTTTCAGCAATAGACAAAATAGCTTAAACATTTGTGTTTTCATGTTATAATTTGTGTTCATTCTAGAATGAAAGATGCATAATTTATATTTATTTCCTAATTTTTTATGGTGGTTGCGAGATTAGTCAAATCTACCAAACCTGTACAGAGATTAATTACTGAAAATAACAGATAAAATATAAAGTTTTTTCTTAAGAGTTATTTGATAACTATCTGGACATTATAAAGATTTTGCAAGTGAAAATTTTCTGATGAATAAAAGTATTTTTATTTAGTATTAAAATGAATATTATTTTGCATGATAGATAGGCAACATGTGAAAAAAAAAAAGACATGAGCAAAACACTACTTTACAAACCTTAAGACTTGATAAAAAAATTTGATATTTTACTTATGAAAGCATTTTAATGTTTACTGATAATCTGTCAAATTTTGTTAACATTCGTTTACTAATTTTAAAGTTATAGTATGAAAACTATAACAAGCTCAAAATGGTTACGATGTCGGTCCCAAGGACCGAGCCCATGCTGTAAGAGTTAACCATTCAATATCAGGAATATATCTATTGTTAAAACAAATTATCTATTCAATACTACAGTATAATTTGGTTTGTTAGATGGGTGTAGTTGTTTTATAACAAAGAACCTTCAAAACACCTGGTATTAATTAGTCTGTGTCAAGGATATTACTTTTGGGCAGATTCCCAGCTTAACATAATAGAATGTCTAAAATATCATCAATGGTAGCGGATGTGATGAGTTTATTGCCACCTCTTAAATGTTCTTTTGAAATAACAAGATTGAGAAATAGAAGAATCCTTCTGAGTTACATATGTTCGAGAACAAGTAGCAAGACTTGTGCCATGATAGTATGGAACACAAGGTTTTAATTTACATAAACATGATGAATGTAATAGAAAATGTCACAAAATTTGTCATTGAAATATGAGATCTGCTAGTTTTTTTTAATCTTATAATACAATAACAGTGTATGTAATAGTTTGTGAAATGGATGGGAATGTATCTGAGAACACCTATAAATCAGAAGATTATGGGGTTTTATTTGACCTCAGACCCATGCCTACTTAAAGTACACAGCTTGCTGGTTTCACTCAAGTTTCCTGTGATTTCTTCTTTTGTACTTAACTCTTTTTCAGCACGGGCTCAGTCCGTGGGACCAACCTTGTAACCATTTTGTGCTTGTTTTAGTTTTCATGCTATAACTTTTAAACTAGTAAGTGTATGTTCACAAAATTATGAAGATTATCAGTAAACCTTACAGGGCTTTCGTACACAAAGTAAAAGTTATTTTATTCTGTTAAGTTTTATGTAATATTTTGATAAAAAGCGTTATATTTTATCTGTTATTTTCCTTATTGAATCTCTATATGGGTTCAGACTTTTATCAAATTTCACATGGAAAAATCTTTATAACCTCCAAGCACTCGTGTTACCATATCCAAGAATGTAAAACTGATCTTTACAAAGTAACTTGTTTTTATATATTTTTATAATTTACTTATTTTTTATGTGGCTTATATTTATTCTTAGATGCTAATCAGGATCATAAATTAGTTTACTTTAATCACCCATTTAAGATATAATAAATTATAATTGTTCAAATTTCACATGCAAAATCTTTATAACCTCCAAATATTTATCAAATGATTTTTGATAAAAAGTGTTATATTTTACCTGTTATTTTCCTTACTGAATCTCTGTATGGGTTCAGTAGATTTGACTAATTTTATAACCACCATAAAAGATTAGGAAATGAATGTAAGTTATGCATGTTTCATTCTAGAATGACAACAAATTATAAGATGAAAACATAAATGTTTAGACTAACTAGTTTAAATCTCATAATAACATGATACATTTATATATGTATATATTATTTTTATTATATTGAACTTCAAGCTGTGCCTGGCTAACATTATGTAAGTTACAATGACACAACACACAAGCACTTGTGTTACCGTATCCAAGAATGTAAAACTTCTCTTTACAGAGTAACTTGTCTTGGCTGTGTTTTAGTGGACTAGTATTGTGTAAAATACAGTCACATTTCAATTACTATACATTATATATGTATATAATTATTACTGTTTATAATTACAATGACACAACACACAAGCACTTGTGTTACCGTATCCAAGAATGTAAAACTTCTCTTTACAAAGTAACTTGTCTTGGCTGTGTTTTAGTGGACTAGTATTGTGTAAAATACAGTCACATTTCAATTACTATACATTATATATGTATATAATTATTACTATTTACAAATAAGTTCTTAAATGTATTTTTATTAAAACATAGAACAGTAAATAAAGAAGTAAAGCAATTAATTATCTCTTCAAGTTACGAACTATGAACTTGTTTGCTGCTTGCATGGGTTGCTAAGCCTTATCAAAACTTGCACATGGAGTTAAAGTTTAATATATACATTTCTACATAGCCAAAAATCATAAATTACTATATCATTGCTTTAGAATTCCACTATTATTTATCAAACTTGGTAAATAAGCTATATTTGGGTCTAAAAAGATATGACATTTCGAGCTCACTAAAGTTTCACTTTACTTTTTTTTAATCTAAGCTTTAAAAGAACAAGTTTGGTGCCTGAATAATTCAATTACACTGAGAAAGCCACCAGGGGAATATTCTGAGCTTTTTATTAGTTATTCACATGTAGTAGACAGAAGTAAGTGTATGTATGTCTTCCTTAAAATGGAAAGAGGTTGGTAGGGCCACTGTGCTTGATTCAGTACATGAACAATATCTCAGCAAATAGAAAAGATAGGAGGTTCTTATTTTACATTCTACCTTGTTAATATCGGTAATTTGAGTTCCTGATCTTACAAAACTTTGAACATCATAAACATCTAATTTGAATCAGTGCTGCATTCAACGTAACACAACACACAAAAATCAATATTTAGGTGTGTTTTTTTTTAATATTTACTTTTAAATTAAAAAATTGATTAATATATAATACTAAATTTTGAATTATAATCAACGATTTGATACCAATGCTAATCAACAAATGTGAGGTCATGAACTGTTATCCATTTGGATAGCATTAATATCCTAGCCAAAGAAGGTGAAAAATGAATAATAAGATAGTTATTACTTAAGTTGATTTTATATGAAAGTTACTATGGAGAAAGTTTGGATGTCTTGAAAGATGTGAGAGTTGGTGTTTTGGTTTATGAGAGTGTCTATGAAAGAAGTTAGTTAAATATCTTGGATTATCCAGGATGTCATTTGAAAGATAACTTCTTGCTTTAATTACAAATCTGTTGTATGGTTTAGAACTACTCAGATTATAGAAGATAAGGTTTATCAGAAGTTCTGACTTTAATTACAAATCTGTTGTATGGTTTAGAACTACTCAGGTTATAGAAGATAAGGTTTATCAAAAGTTCTGACTTTAATTACAAATCTGTTGTATGGTTTAGAACTACTCAGATTATAGAAGACAAGGTTTATCAGAAGTTCTGACTTTAATTACAAATCTGTTGTATGGTTTAGAACTACTCAGGTTATAGAAGATAAGGTTTATCAGAAGTTCTGACTTTAATTACAAATCTGTTGTATGGTTTAGAACTACTCAGGTTGTAGAAGATAAAGTTTATCAGAAGTTCTGACTTTAATT